TGTTGTCGTTGTGCATCCTTGCACTGGTTTATCTTCTGCTTCACTATCTTCCTCTCCCTGCTCTATCAGCTCCCATGTATCCATCGAGATCCCTTCCTCGTCTTCTTTCTTCTTCCTCAATAAGGTTATCCTGGTTTCTTTTCACATCTCTTTCAAAGAGTTCCAGTCTTCTTCCACGCATGTTTCTTCAGGGATGTTGCTCAAGGTCTCCCATTTTTTCCTGATGACTGACGACATGACGATGTCCTTTGTAGTTTCGTCCTTCAGTTTCTGTTCGGGTTGTTCAACCTTAACTGTGGCCTATGATCACCAACTTCTTTGGAGGCTTTCAACTTGATTTCGAAGTCTGGTTCCTTGCACTAGATAGTGAGTGGTGTGAACCCACATCTGCTCCCCTTCTTGATCTCATCTTGTGTCCAGTAGGTTGGCTGCATCTCCACTTTCTTCACATTGAGATGAAGTTGATGTGATTCCTAATGTATCATGGTGTCTGGTGAAATCAAATCCATGTTGCTTTGTGAATATCCTTGCGCTTGTACACCGTATCTCCAATCACCAAATTGTTGAATGCGCAGACATCTGCAAACAGTTCTCCATTCTCATTCATTTCACCGAGTGCTTCTCGACCCATGATTGGTTCTCTTCCTGTGTTATCTGCTCCCAGTTTGGTGTTCATGTCAATCATTGGAATTTTGATGTCGTCAACTGGAGTAGGGTCTTGTTCATGGCTGATTGCGTTTGTCTGTAGAACTCCTCCTTCTCTTGATCTGCATTATTTGTAGGTGCGTAGTGTAGCATTGTATGATTGTGACTTTTCTTCCTTTTGAGTTGAATCCACCATGCTGTCATAATGCTGATCCTGATACTGTAGGAGACTGGTTCCCACTGCCTGAGAGACTTTGATGCCGTTGGGAGTGGACATCATGATAGCCACTCGAAAACTCAGTGTGCTCGTTCGTGGTTGTCATCTGGGTGACAATATCGGAGTAGATTATTGACTCGTTTCCAGTTGACAGACAGTTTGGAGAGTCCACTTCCATTCCATCTGTATATTTCTTGCAGATTCCTAGCCTACCACTTCAATGCTATATCTTTTCATCTCTTTTGCTATCTGGGCAGTGTTGCCAACCAGCTTCAAACATTGTACGGACATTGCATGTCCCCATGTTTACCCCCGCCTTCATCGAGAGAAGACATATGGGCCAATTGGCTTCGCGAAGGCTTTCACTAACTGGTGTCATTTCTTCTCCCCGACTTCAACAAAGAACAAGTTTATTTTTGTTGTTTATATTTCATCTGTGCTTTGAAGTTTCTTTTGCGACTGGATTGATTTTCCTGTGTAGGGTTTCTAGCCCTATGCCTTACTTTCCTTCTTTATTCAGGCTTAGAACTGGCTAGTAACTGGTGAGCAGTTTAACTAGGTGAGGTTTTTTGTGAAGAGTATCTTGATTGATTTATTCCTATTGTGTTATGTCCGGTAGTACGACCTAACAGCAATACGAGCCTAGAAGACTGCGAACGAATGGACGTAATCTGCAGCGAATAAGCTCTAACGCTAACCAGAACGTCAAGCACCACCAAAACAATACCACAGACTCGTGAAGACAAGAAGAGAAGATAGACCGTTGAAAGAGAGCTTTTTACTGTCTGAACAACAGTTACAGCAGTTGACAGCGATGCTGAATATATACATTTCTAAATGACCTTGACTACACTAAATTCACATATAGGGAAAACTGAGAGTTCAACCTAGAGAGGAGAGGGAAGAAAAACTAGCAACAGCGTGAAAACAGCCAGGTGGTTTTTTAAGGTCATGAGCAAAATTAGGGATACATAGCATGTTGAGATAGTTTTAATCATCACAACTGGGTATAAACATGTCAATTATTTGCTAAATGTTTCTTCATGATGCAATATATTAGTTCACTTAGGTCATTTAGTCTACTTCCACTGGCGTAAAAACCGACTTCATTTAGGCTGCCCTCTCTTGGTGTAGTTCAAAAGCCCCTAGTCTTGCCCAATGACGTTCTCCTCCTTCCCGTTCATCCTATTGTATGTGCCTCTTTACTTAAGGTTTTCAGATTTAAGGAGCTTTATTATATCTAATTATTTTTCCCTTGGATTCCTAGTGGAACATAGGGCTTCAGTAGCACGCCTCCATTGTATCTATGTGCTGTATATTGATTACATGTTGAATGTGGTTATGAAATCATGAGTTTATATTATCAATTGTTCAATGTTCAATATACTAATTTTATTTTAATGGTTAAAATCGACTAACTTACTACTTTGTAAACTCTTTTCTTGAATGTATTAGTGAATTTTTTTTTTCTTCTTTGACCAATCGCTTTTACTTTCATGCTAAGAGGAATGTTTTACTTAAGCAAATTAAATAAAAAAAGTTGTATATTATCTGTTGAGTCAACTTTGTGAGTAGTATAGTCAGTCAGTCAGTCAAATACTTGTGTAGGTTGGTTGGCGGTATGATTAAAATAACAACCTAGAATACAGAAATTTGATTTTAAGTCTTTTTTTTTTTTACCTGTTATTCATTATTCTGATAACTAAACTATCAAAGATGAATTGATACTTACTGTATTGGAAATTTAAACAGATAGATCATATGTTATGCATACTAATCCACTGTCTACTCAATTGCACTGTATTTGATAATTCTCTACGTTAAGTTGAGAAAACGCTAAAAAGTGATCAAACTAAGATATTATACGAATCTATGAAGGGTTTTAACCTGTTGGTTTGAGTTGTATAAGGAAAAATAGACTCTTTGATTGTTACTCTTGAGGCGAATGTAACATGCCTTAGAATTGATGATTGTGGTGTGGATACTTTTACGCCTTAGCTGTATCTGAATTACATTTCGTTGTTTACTTTATCCCTTTTTAGAATCAGATAAGATATTTATAAATGACACGCCCAGTCTTTGTTGAGAATGATGCATTTTATAAGATCCAGTTGTGAGCAAATAAAATATTGTGGTCTGAATATTAAGATTGTTCGAAGAAACCACCACTCGAGTTTCACAAATATACCTTGGTTAGTTGTATCACCACTATCTGTGCCCTTTTGTGAATATCTAGTATGATTTTGAGTATCATATGTTTGTATTGAAGTAGGTCTTTGAGTTAAATCAATTCAAGTTGGCTGCTGCTGAGCTCGACCCCTAGTGGAATGAAACAATTATCCGATGTTTACGTCACTTTTATCTTTCTAATGAACACTACAGATTAGAGTTCGATAAGTTGAATTGAAACGCATTCCACAGGTAAATACGCGTTTTTCTAATAGACGATGAGACACACTTATTTCGGAGGGTTCGTGATCCTACTAGGAACCTCAAACATCGATAGGTTGAGCGGGGTTCAAACTCGTAACGCGTTAGTTCAAAGCCGACTACCTAGACTAATGAGCTAGCTGATTCGGCGTCCGTCTGACATCATTTGGAGAACGATTAGAAGCGTGAGAGTGCTTTATAATCATCTTTTTCTAGTATAGGACTCTAGCGATGCGCACCCCCGCTCTTCCAGAGGTCGAACCCGCAGCCTCCAGGTCTTGTAGCCAACAATTTACCGATGGGCCGCCGAGTCAGAATCTATTGGCCTACAGTGAGAGATTAGCTGCTTCATTATTTGCTTTATTATCCGATATGAAAGAGAAGGTGAAGTATATGACTTCTTGAATTTTATAACTACTAGATGTTTAACCAAGCAAGTGGTTACCGTTACTCTCAACCTAGAGAATAACATCAGTCCATGAAGTGATTGATTGTCTGAAGACGCTGACAAGGTGCAGAGTTTTCTGAACACTGAGTAGCAATTTGAGAATGTTTGGGGTGCGGTTCCCACCACCATCACCACCACCAAATGCAAGTTGTTGCTTCAGGATCGCTCTTCAACCGTCCCACGGCTAACAATAGACAATGTAGTGATTGAGTCTGTCGACCACTGGGAAGCGAAGTGGGGTCAACTCTGCTCTGGTGGCTCAGTGCACGATGAAATCTCCGCACGAATACAAAAGGCTATACTGGCCTTAGCCAACTTATCCCACCTATGGTACTCCTGTGATATCCAATTGTCTATCAACGGTCGCGTGAACTCCACACCAGTCCGCTCTCTTCTACTCTATGGCTGTGAAACATCTCCACTGAACGTGGAAGACATCAAAAAGGCTGGCTTCACGTGTTTCACCACCGTTGTCTGACTTCGTAGTATACGCCGTATTCCATCGTGTCACCAACTGAGTAACACAGACGTCTACACACGTGTAGAGTTCTAGAGAGTAGAGGTAAATCAGTTGACGAGGCTATGAACCTTCATCGACTGAGATGGTTGGCACACATATTACATATGCCTAGTCGCCGATTGCCTCGTCACACAATGTTGGCTGAAGTTGATTCTGGCTGGAGAAAGGCACAAGGTGGCCACACTGAAACATGCCACCAATGTATGAAGTCTTTGACTGTTTGTTTCAGGCATGTGGGGTGATGCAGATTAGGTTGTTGGGGTCCATGGGACAAGAGGAACCAGTGGTTGCAGACTGACTCTAGGTGATAATATGGCTCGCCTCTACCTCTTCTCTCAACAATTTCCAATCTCACTTTTTTTTGTCTATTCTCCGTCTTGTTGCTTTCTGCCTTGATGTAAAGTGTGGCAATTCGGATCAACACGCAGTAATCCTGGGTCGGATATTCATCCTAACTGATTGAATTACATCATCTTGTTTTTATTTGTCTGTAGGTGATCACTAAACATATTTTAGATGATAAAGTTCAGGTGAGTAAAATTTGTCGTCGAAGTTTTATTTGAACGATTGACCCAGGAGGTATCTGCTTTTGTAGAAATACTTCTAGGTGATAAGTGAATGACGTAACAAGAGCGAATTGCATTGGAGTTTCACATTAATAATAATAATAATGGTCCAAGTAAAACATTTTAAGCCTGTTTCACCCATGTATACTAACTTTTCTTTTTTTGCTTATATAGACCTTGAGCAAACTTTGAAACATAGTATTCCTGGTTGTCTAATATTATTGGATCTATTTTTAAACAACATACCACTGTATTTATGTCATGCTGTCTATCCTGTTATCGTCTACTTGGTGTATCTAGCCATAGCGACATTAGGAATGTATCTAGCCTACATAGTAGGTGATGCAGACAAGACTGTGACATATCCTTCGAATCCAACTGTACTCATTGGTGGACATCCATTGTTGACTAGCGGTTATCAAGACTTTACAAATATACCACGTATATTCATTGTTCTATTCGGTGCTATCTCTATTGGTATTATGATTCATTGTGTCCTATTGACACTAGTTATAACACGTGATTTCTTAGCTAGCCTTTGTCAACTTAATACTAATGAATGGGTGATAGAAGATGATACCTATCTGGTTGATAATAGTACATTGGATCTATTCAGTAGACAGTCTTCATCAACCATTGGAGTGCATAATCAAGGTGAGAATGAGAAGCCTCATTGATTAATTCAACTAAGATATTGACAAAAATAACAATTTGCATATATTTCGATGTATGTATGTATGTGTGTGTGTATGAACTTCAGTGCTACTATTTACGATTTTATTATTGTTGCTAATCTCAATGATGGTGACAATTCTGGTAACCTAGATGAATGTCTATCAATTTCATCATACTGATAGAAAAGTTAGGGAAAATAAAGATAGAGCATACAAAAAAATGAATTTTATTCTATCCAAATAACATAATTATATTTACTTCATTTATTCTATCAAATATTGTCTGATCTCTTTTTATTTCTTTCTTCTAAAATATTTCTTTGATAATTTCTCCATCTTCTTGTTTCTCCTTTTATTTTGAAAACATATACAATTTTTATATTTTTATGGGATTTTTAATAATTTATTATTTTTTTTAAAAATGTTCAATGGACTATTGGTGTATTTTTCAATTCAAAAGGTTGCGCACTTGATACATTTTACATTGAAACATTGAACCCATTTTTTTTTTTCAATCTTGTGATATTTATACAAACAAAAATCTGCTATATGCTATGCATACATACATGTATACAAATATTTTTATATTTTGTACAAAGTTCTTATAAGTTTTCTTTTTCTTAAATTATTTATTGTACAGTTAACAATTAATTGAATTTATCTTAAGGTAATTACAACTCCATGTGATATACTATATAGTGTATTCATTAATTTTTCCTTATCAATACACTTTGATTGTATATCCTGTAAAATGGTGTCAATACCGTAATGCTTACTAATCAGAAATGAAAGGCCTCTTTGACCCACTTTCATTTGCTCAGGTCTCTCACTAGTAACTAGCTGTACGTTTTACAGTCACTGTCATATATAGCCCCTAGTTATAGTACGTTAATAAATATGTGTGCTTAAAATGAGTTGGTTTCATGGTCTCTAGCTGTTAAATTTCAACTTTCACACGTTCACTGTCTTGTATAAATTGTTCACCTAGCTGGAATTATGTCCTTGTTTCACACATAAGTTTAGTCAGTATATTTCTGCTATTCCTCATAGATATCCACTTTTAAAGAGGAATTATGAAGATGTGAACTAGTTGTGAACAGAGGAAATTTCTTTTTTGTATTCACCATGAACTGACATTAATTGGAGGAACATTGGGAACTTGAGAGCATCGGACATCTGTTTATTTTTGTAGCATAGGACTCTTCAGCAGCGCGTACCCATAGTCGCACCCCACCAGAGATCGAACCCAAGACAGTGAAGTTCCATGGCCAACAGGTTACGGTTGAGCCACTGAGCTTGGACCCAGTGGTCCATATTTTCAACTACTGCCAGTTCACGATATAATGCGACTAACACCCAATGTTATCGTTGAGTATTTGTCTTCATATCCACCACGTTAACCCTACTAGTCACAACTTCTCATTGGAAATCCGGGAATCACCTCTCGAAGCTAGTCATCAATAAGCGCTAGATTGACTCAATTCGGAGATTTGTGGGGATTTATTAATTTCAGATTGGTATTCATCATAGTTTGCCATTAGTTGGAGAAACATTCTAAACCTAGGAACATTGGACACCTGTTTCGTCCTAGTATGACACTCCTCAGAAGTGTGCACCGATGATCCCACCAGGGAAATCATAAACATTCTAGCTGGTTGACCCACGTTGGATTGTAAACTCATGGTGATGCTCATACCGAGGTCCGAACTTGCATCACCGTAGATGCAATTCATTATGTATTTACAGGTGTAATACCTATCCTTCTTTTAATTTCTGTACATACTCCAGTTCTTCAGGGATTTGTCATGATCTGAATATTTCCTAATCGTAAACTATCCAACCTTAGCTTTATGTAACGCACGTTCATACCTTCGAAGGAAGAGGATTTCATCGACCAGGAATTTGTGAAATAAAGCTTTCACCAATTACATTTCATAGTTAGAGATTGAAGTAGTAGTTTTATACACTAGATTTGATGCTTGGAATAAAACCATCTAGGATACGAACTTCCACATGTCTCTCAAGTCAATCCACAGTTAGCAGGAAGATGTAAAAATGTTACTTCAGTAGAAGCTTAATCAAAAAATCACGCCTCACCAATTCGATTTTTCTATCTGAAACAGATTGTTGAACTATAGTCATGGTAAATTAATTGGTCACTTGAAAGCAACCAATCTTATGGTGTCTAGTACGAAGGGCTGACCGAATTTTATCGATTATTTTGGAATATGGTCACCAATCCAGCCCTACAGGGGGCAGTCACAGGTTGAACAGCTCGGTGGTAGCGTCTCTGACTACAACACTCCCACGAGGTCGCGGAAGCAACAACCACGAAACCTACGTCCATGGCTTTCTGTTGTCTATCGACGCCGAATGACTAAGCAACATCTATCATAGTTATGCTATTTAACGGAGAATACTCCATCACTTCTTGATAACCTTACATTAGTAAGTTACATTCCTAACACAGACAACATTTTATGAATTAAAGTACTCAGGTTGGTTTAGTTTTTCACTCATAAAATTAATTACAAAAGTATACATGTGATTATAGAAGTTGAAAGGAGACTTTATCTGACACTGGCTTCCAGCTACTGAACTCATCCGCTCGATATATCTTTCAGTAAATGTATGAAGCCTAGGGGAGTAAAATTAGAACATAATAAGAACAAAACAGCTGTTGCATTGTAGTCTCCTACACTTCTAATATAAAGCTAGGAAAAAGAATGAAGTAAATATTAAATATCCTTTTAAGTCCACCTTTTTGCTACTTCACTTCTATTTTTGAAGATATCCAACCAACACCACCAACAAGCTGCAATCACCATCAACGGGAGAAACTTAAAGGAAGTAGTTTCTTACACCTATCTAGGCAGCATCGTTTCAACTACAGGTGACACAGGCACAGATAAGGACGTCAAAGGATCGGAAAGACAGCAAGAAAGGCTTTCATTAACCTGAAACCAGTGTGGAGATCAACTGCACTCAGCATAAAGAACAAGATCTGGGTTTTCAACACCAGCGTCAAGTCAGTGCCTCTATATGGTCCAGAGACTTGGCATTTCCATCAAACTACGGATATTCATCAACAACTGCATACGCCCGCTACTGAAACTGAGATGGCCAGAAAGAATAAGCAACAAGAAACGCTGGCCGGGCAACAAACCAACCAGGAACTTATCGCTGAACAAATATGCAGAAGGGAGTGGAGATGGATTGGATTGTATTGGTCATACACTGAGAAGACGGACTGGGGATATCACGTTCCGGGCCAGGGCCTCGAGTGGAACCCAGATGGGAAGCGACGAGTTGGGCATCTAAGCCGAAGGTGACGTGTAGGAGATCGTGCGAGGAAGAAATGAGATCTTCTGGGCTGTCGTGGGGCCAGGTTGAAACGAGTGCAGAGAACAGAGTGCAATGGAGACGTGCTACTGAAGCCCTATGTTCCACTAGGAACCCAAGGGACAAATAATAGTGATAATAAACTGATATTCAGTATTTCAATCAAATCTGTAAACATGACTTGGTAGACACTGACATCGGGAAGCTTTTTATTTTACCGTCGTTGAATCGAATTGATCAGTCTCTGTTAGGATAGCACCTTTGTGTGGATACTCCGATATAGCAATGCAACCTAGAATGTATATTCCATGCTGTTTAGGGCAAACCTGGTGGCCATGAGGACAAACACTCAACGGTGGCATTGGGTGGCGGTCGCACTATGCCGCGAGCTGACAGAAGTAGGAAATGTGTACCATTGTATTCCGACCCAGTATGTCAATGGTAACGTGCCAGCCACGAAACCTGTAGGTCAGGGGTTCGATTCCTGGCGGGGTCGTAGGTACGCACCATCGAAGAGTCCGGTACCAGGACGAAACGGTTGTCCATTCCTCCCAGGTTTCCAGTGTTGCTCCAACTGATGTCAGTTCACGATGCATAGCAACTTGGATTGCATATATTGTTTCGTTCGTTTGACAAGTCTGAAAATTTTGAGAACCGAAAAAGAATTGACCGATTAGGAAAATATTTTCTTCATTGTTTCCCACCAACTGAAAGTAACTCGAAAATTACAATAGCTATCGAAATAGTAATATGATGTGATATGAAATCGAATTAGTAACTGACAGTTGTGTATAATGACTGAAGTGAAAGTGGAACGCAGACAGTTGTTGGATTTCTTAACTCAGTTGGTACAATTCCAAATGGGTAATGCGAAATTCTTAGATTCGATTCATTCCGTGACCTAGATTTCCTGTTAACTGCAATCATCAACCTGTTGCAGTTAAATCAACCGGCTAAAATTAAGGCCATTGAAAGTAGTTTCATCAATTGGTTAACTATGATTAGATGGAAAGTGTAATTTTATGAACGGATGCAGTTAAAAGGTATCATCAATCCAGTGTAAACAACTATACAACATTCCAAATTAACTAATGAACCATAAGTATGAAATTCACTTGGCTGATAGGTGAGAACGAAACTGGGTGTTATTTGGAAGAGATATAGTTGGTAATATGAAGTAAGCTTATTCATGCATTATAGCTGCATACGCCTTATTGATAAAGCTTTATAATGATCACTTTAGCAAAGTGAAGTAGTTTCATCCTTTTCTATATTACAAACGATTTAGGTACTATTTGAAAGTTTTAATTTGCCATTACTATTTTGAGTTGAATTGATCAACTTCTGTTTGCAGATGGTCTCCTATTGCAGATACCTGGATACCTCCCGATTACCCACTATGCTGTAATCTACTTGATGGCTAGCAGTGGAATCCAGGGCATGCGTTTCGTCCTACTTGGGACTCGTCGTCTGTATGTTCCTGTACCCCAGTGAGTGATATTGTTCCCTTTAACACTCGAATCCAGTACCCATCGCTCCACTAGGGCATACGAGAACCATATCTTTTGCAACAGGTATCAGGTATTGTTCGATGGTAACGGGAGATTACAAGTATCATGCAACACCTGAAACCCCTTTGCAAAAGAAGCGAGCATGGTGCT